TAAAGAATAGCTTTGGATTTGTCACAAAATAATGAGTTAGTTAGGGACTGAGGGGACTACCTGTATAAAATAAATAATACTGAATTATAAATAATAATAATGAATAATGAATTATTTTGCATAGAAGAGCATTCTAGCTTCATTGTTACTTTCAGGAGACAACAAAATTGCTGCTTTTTTCACAATTTGATATACTGTCCCAATCATGCCAAGTCTCTATTTACTAATCAGACTATGTTCTTACTGTTATCAGCACTTAAATGTAAATATAGCAATTTAAGAGTAAGACATAGGCAAGCCCAATTCATCAATAAAATTGTCAACCTAGGCCACTTCTCATTCAGCTATTGTTAGTAATTATGGAACCATACTATCATCCAACAGGCAAAGATCTGGGATTTGTGTTAGAAAAATCTCTTTTTAGATTTCAATTTTATTATGTAACATAAAGCTATTTTAAGAAGTCATTTTTTGCCCCAAAAGTTCTCTTACAGATAAAAACTTGGAGATATGTTAAGTTGGGAATTCAGGAATGTAAATGTCAAATGTCAACCCTAAATTTTTATTTAGTTATACAAGTGTGTGTGTGTGTGTGTGTGTGATTGTCATTATTTAACTGGTTTTGAAAACCCCCAAAAACAAATGCTGTGAAACTTCCATATTCCAATATACATATTGTTTAATGTGAATATAGCTGTTAAATATCTCTAAGATGATAAATATAATTTATTTTTGATTTTCACTCCCAAAACAACTGCATCAATACTTATACAAGAGTTAAGTCCATCTCTAATAAACTCAAATTTTTTTTTCTTCACTTCTGTCATGTCAGATTCTGAAACTGCCTGGACACGTCCCTGTACTTTCTTGGCAAGGCTTTTCAGAAGTGGTTTGCTACTGTCTCCTTCCTAAGGCTCGGAGAGAGTGTGACTGACCCAAGGTCACCCAGCTGGCTTCATGCCTAAGGAAGGGCTAGAACTGATGATCTCCATGTTTCTAGCATAATGCATTAACCACTAGACCAAATTGGCTCTCCAGTGAAATTGCTTCCAAGTAAAAAGCCATTAACACTGCATCGTGAAAATAAATTATATGTGATTATATATTGGTTTTGACTGCTGCTTTTTTATGAAAAGAGTAGCCTTGACTGAAGCAGTTTACAAATTCATAAATAAAGATGAATCAGCAAATACACTTGATTCACATTCCACAGCAATGTCCTAACCTCTACTATATAATGGTTCATTTAAAACAAGTCACTTAGCATAGGCAGTTTGATTTATGAATTAATAGTACATAATTCACTATGAAGTCCATGGACTATTGAGAAAGACTGCAAGGCAAATGCACCACAGTGGAATACTGCATGAACATTTTCAAAAAATGATACTGGTAAATCACCTTAAATGTATTATTTCTAATTTAAACACAGTAGCTGATCTATGGCACATTTTAGGGTGCCATAACAAAGTCTGATTTCATTCATTTATTTCATGCTATAAATGGGTCTTTTAATAATTGTGTAATTGTTTTAGTTCACAGCGCTTATAAAATGCAATTCAAACACATGCCTTATAAGAACGATGTTTTCCAATTTACCACAATTCAGTTTTACTCAACATGGGGTTCTCCAGACTACAACTCTGTTTACATTCAACCAGCATAGCTGTTGGTTGTGCTTACTAGGCTGGATAACAGTTGTGGTGCAAATATCAGACTAGGGGAAGTAGGCTCAAGGCACTGCAAGGATATAGTCTAGATTAGAAGAAACTCAGTAACAAACTAAATTTGTGTCTTGAATGCCTGGCAACAGCCTGTAGTTTTTTGGCAACAATTTAAGAAGTAGCTTGCCAGTTCCTTCTTCCTAAGAGAGAATGATTGGCCCAAAGTCATCCAGCTGGCCTTATGCCTAAGGTGGGAAAATTTCTTAGTTTCTAGCCTGGTGCTTTTACCACACTAAATTGACTCTCAATCTAAAATAAATTAGGTTTATTTTAGGAACTGTGCAAAGACAATGGAGTATACAGATGTGTGATAAATATTCTTAAGAATATTGTGTAAAACAGAGTTATTTCCATGTACAATCAAATGAATCTTTGATTAATAGACCATTTATGTATAGGGGCTCCATCTTTCTCAAATGTCCATTAGATATTATTTTATCATAATGATGCAAATGACATTTAAATAAACTTAATGAAGGTTCTCTATTTTAAAAAATGCCTCGTCTAGCCTACTTTGGATAGTCATGTCAAATATTATCTGGGGATGTTTCCGGTGGTATCAAAAATGTTAAACTGGAAGAGGGATTGCCCATTAAATGTAAATTTCTTTATACGCCCCCCCATGTTTGAAAGCTGTGGCTTGCAAGGAAAATATCAAATGTGTGAAAGCCACCTCCAGGATGGATGTTGCAAGCAGAAAAAATATTGCTAGAATACAAATGAGCATTTATTCATGTTAAAATATGAATGAGAGCATTGTATATAGAATTTCACAATCAAAGCCAAATTGACTTGTAGTGTTAAGCAATATTATTTGTTTTAGTCTTGGTGTGATGTGCAAGCCTATTCATTATAGTATCATGCTATTTCTAAACCAGACTACAAAGACTTGTTCAACACAACACAAATAAAAATCCTATACTCACAGTATGTGTGAATGAAACCAGAAACAGAAACTCAAGAGCTTAGACTTGTAAGCATAGTGAAATAATTCCAGAAAGTCAGGTCAAAAATTACAGGTTCAGAATAAGCCATCTGATTTCAGAATACCAAAACCTGAAATTGTTTATAGAAATTATGACCAGCAGTTCTAAGAAAAAGTGATTTGCTACACTAATATATACAATTTCACTTTAAAAATTACTTACCAGTATTGCACTACAAGAAGCAAGAATAATTTTTATTCAGCATTTTTCTAGAAATCAATATGAAACTGTAATCTTTTCTAGTAAATGCTGCAGAAAACTATTTTGGAAAATACCACCCAGGCTCCATTGGATAGCTTCTATATCATAGAGATGACAAACTTTTAAATAACAAAGTACTGAATTCATAACAATTTGACAAGGTGTTTTTCATTTTAAATCCATTTCACTTAAAACTTCTCTACTACAATTGCCACATTTGCAATGAGGAAGTATTTCAATATTAGGAATTTAAAAAAAAGAGCAAGTTTATAAACAATTGAAATTACAGATACACATTCTGAAAATTTAAAATGTGTTTAGAAGAATTGTGTATTCTATTCCTGTTTGATCAAAGACAGGCTAAAATGATATTAGCCACATTCATACAACAAGCCAGGTTTGCTTACTGCTTCTTATACAGGCCACAACGCAATTACAAATAATATGCTCAGAAACAAAGAAGCATAGAAAATTTGCCCCCCAATTTTCTAAACCCCTATGTTTTTTCTCAAGGTGCATGCATACTTCAGACTGACAAATATTCCATGGTGTTCTTTGTTGAATAACAATGATACATTAATTAGCTATTTAAGTATTCATATATTCTGCAACTTTATTAATTGTATTGGAGTACAGCATAAGGACAATCTTCACACATGACTTTTAAATTACATTAAGTGATTGATGTAAACAACACTAAAAGATCTAAGGAAAGTGCATATGAATAATCCTACTAAATTCTCAGAGTAACCATGATTTACAGAAATGCCTAATTCTGAACAATTTTATCTAAAATCAAACTTTGAAAGCTTGAACTGAAGTCCAAAATGTTCTATAGCTGAATTTCTGCATTAACTTTTGCTAAACACAAATCTGCAGGTTGTATCAAGAGCTAAAGTAAACAAAGGATAAAAGTTTTATCAACAATGATAATGAATACAAAACCTTGATATTACATATTTTCCTCTTGTGTCTAAACTTGTGTCAATCACATCCAATTGATTAATAAGCAGAATTGATTAAAAAACCATTATAAAACATTGTTATATTTCTCATTCCTGTATTTAAAATCCTAATGGAACTTAACATTTTCCTTTCTTGGAACCTAATAAGCTTCTAGTTTACTATTAATTTGCAATCGAACCAAATACAGATATAATTATTTCTTATGACTTAAAATCTCTATTAATCAACATGTTTTTTTCTACAGTACAGGATTTCTTTGATTATTTTTTTAAAGTGACAGACCAAGACAAATGCTTGGGTTCAACATACAGTCTGCTTTTCATTTCCACAAAACATCTGTATCTAAGCTGTTTGACACTATTAAAAATACCCGATTTTATCTAAAATAGAAAATAGTTTTTTTTCAATACGCATGAAATTAGCAAATATGCTACTTAAGGATGGATAATTCTTCTCCAGCACCACCCAAAAATGAAGCTCTCTTATTACCCAATTGAATATCACTATCAAAGTTTAAATAGTTAAAGGAAATACAAATTAGATATGAGAGAGAGAGGTAATACTGTTCATTATCTGTCAAAACAAATGACCCATTCTTTCTCACAATATATGTATTCATGATCCCTTTTTAGCAATATATTTTATGTCTAAGAACGTATGTTCATTTCTCAATTCTCCATTGTCTTCTGAAAACATATTTTTAAGCATGAGAGGCTTATTTTGAAAAAGAGATGAGAGAAAAAAGCAGGATTCCAAAAACAATAAAAAGGAAGGTTATTACAACAGGAAGGCCTCATAGGAGTTTTCTTGCAATTGACATTTTGCAACAAGCAACCTGTAAAAAATAACCATTATCAGATTTTCAGCTTCCATAAAACCTGCAGTAGAGAATTCCCTATGTAATATTAAGCTATATTTTAAATGAATATAGACTATTTCTCTATATGCTATTTGCTTACATTGATTTTTTTTTTCCACTGAAAACAGCAAAAGATTTTTTTCATTAATCTAAGGATCTGCATTATCACTTATACTCTGTATGACAGACATTAATTATTAAAATGGTATTCAGTTACTATGAAACTACACATTACACCAATGAAGAATCCTTAAGCGCACTCACGTTTTCAGTGTCCCGTTCATTCACCGTGGGCAATGGAGTTCTAGTAGACATTTTCATTCACTTAGCTGGAAGCACCCGTTTGCAATGGCAAAATCCAACTGTTTATTATATAAAAATAAAAAAAAAAATTCCTAACACCTCCCTCCCTCCGAACACATATACATATGTATTTACAAAAAAAATGTGATTTTACAGCATGGTAGCAGCTCTCAAGTGCCACCATCAAGATAAAAGGTAGTACGGGGAAAGAAATTTGAGTTATTTCCTCCACCACCGCTACCCCTTCTTTCTCATCTATCTTCCAGTCTGATAATGGAGCATTATATCCTCTTGGGAATTTTCAGGAATCATCTTATAGGCGGCTTACGGTCTTTAGAAGGTGGGGACGACAGATTAGGAGAGGATTGTCCTGGAGCCCCAAAAGAAAAATGGGCCAAAAATTGTCCGGTGCCGTTTAAGAAGAAGAAAAAGCGGGGAGCGGGAGAGATGTGCAGGGCGCTGCAGTAATACGGTACACAGCCCAACTTGCAGGCTGCTGAAGAAGGAAAGTGGAAAAGCAGCAGTCGCTTTCCGCGCAACCACTGTCGGCTGCGAAAAGAACAAGGAACCACCCAGAGCTGGTCAAAGGAGCGGGCCAAGCCCTCGGCGTTTTCTCTCTCTATACGGATCGCTTTCACCGGGCCTCGGCTCTCATGTTTTAATTGCGCCCCCTCCTCTTCCTTCTTCTCCGGGACAACTCCCAACTCCTTGGCTCCCTACCCCCTATCCCAAAGGGGAAGAAGGCTCAGAGCCAAGGAGAAAAGACCCTTCCGTCACAGCCTGGAGGGTTTGCCGGGTGGAATGCTGTAGAAGCCAACCCTCTGCCGCCGCCGCCGCCAAACGAGTCCCCTTTGCTCTCTCTCTCTCTCTCTCAAGTAGTAGCAACAGCAGCAGCGGCAACAACGCCGCCGCTCCCGGATGATCCAAGATGGCCGCCCGGCTTCCTCTGTTCCTACATGAACCGGAAGAGACCGCCCCTTGCACAGGGACAGGCCATGGGGAGGGGAGGGGAGGAAAGGCCGAGGGCGCAAGCGCGGGCGTGCGTGCATGGTTCGCCTCTTGTTGCTAAGGTGTTTTGGCGGGGTGGGGGGCGGCGTTGGACGAGCGCTTTTCATTGTGGAGGAAAGGAGAAGCTTTGTGTTTCAAAGGCGCCGATGAGAAGCGAAACGCCTTCAAAGAAAAACGAGAACGTCCAGTTGCCTCTTGAAAAAGCACCTTTGAGACAACCGTCTGTATGGAGATTCTCAGTCATCCAGGTCGTAGTTATCCCAAACGTGCTTTTTCACGAGGCAACTGGACCAGGGGTCCTCAACCTTGACAACTTTAAGACTTGTGGACTTCAACTCCCAGAATTCCTCAGCCAGCTTTGCTGGCTGAGGAATTCTGGGAGTTGAAGTCCACAAGTCTTAAAGTTGCCAAGGTTGAGGACCCCTGAACTGGACTTTCTTGTTTTTTCCCTTGAAGACGTTTCACTTTTCATCCAAGAAGCTTCTTCAGCTCTGAGAACAACCATGATCTGGATGACTGAGAATCTCCATAGACGAGAAGCCTTGTGCTCCTCTCTTGACAGACGGAGGGCTTGCGCAGTCACCCGCACAACTTACGTTCCCTTTAAAGGCTTCGATCATTTGTATTGCCGAACTTGGGTTAGGGTTAGGCTTTCTGCAAATGGTTGGAAAATCGAACATGGGGGGGAAAAAAACTAGCTACGGTTAGCCTACACACGAGAAATTTAAAGGTAGCGGAATTCTAGTATATAGAAAGGTGATGTGTGTTAAGACAGACTTGGGATTCGCTGCTCGGAAGGGCAGCCCGGAATCCGTGAGTGGAAAAAGCAGATGTTTGGCTAAGAAGTTGGTGGGGAAAAAGCAGCTTTTGTTTCCTAACAAACCGCTTCGGAAATAGTGGATTCGTCTTCATTAGAATTATTTAAATTGAGGTTAGACAACCATTTTTCTTGAGGGGCAGTTGTGGCTGCAATCAGCAATATCGTACGGTTCATTCAGAGAGCAAGCCTTTAGAACAGTGGTTCTCAACCTTTTTAATGCCGCGACCCCAACCGGTTGTAAGTCGAGGACTAAACCGGTCGTAAGTCGAGGACTAAACCGGTCGTAAGTCGAGGACTACCCAACCGGTCGTAGGTCGAGGACTTTCCCTGCCCGGGAGCGCCGCGCATGCGTGGTTCTGCCCCCTGCGCTGGCCGAGGCATAGCTGGCAAGCGGCAGAGACGGAGCAGGACGACTACCAGCTGGCCCAGCCCAAGGGAGGTAAGGCACCTGCAGGAAAAGGGGGAAAAATGGCGGACAAAAAAAATGGCGGACAGCCTTGCTTGGCGACCCCCATGAAATGGTCGATCGACCCCAAATGGGGTCCCGACCCACAGGTTGAGAACCACTGCTTTAGAAAAGGTCCTGTTTCTTCCGGAAAGCGTAGTTTCAAATAAAACATTGAGCTGCCTTTTCTTCAACAAAACATGCACAGCATCAGACAAGAGTCATGTGTCTTTTGGCCCTATAAAAGTGTACACAATTTATTCTAGTGGTATGGTGAAACCTGTTGAAGACTTCTGGAACCTATCGAAGGAGATGGCAGATGTACAAATAAGAAACTATTACATTTACTGCCTATGGTAAAAGTATTTTTCATATTGTATAAAGTGCTTTCTTTGCCTTCTCTGAGAAATTCACTCCAGTTTATTAGTAGTTCTTGAAATAGTGACAATTTTGTGGGAGGAAAAATAAAGTAGACACACATTAGCCTTTAAAAAGTATACTCTGAACTTAACTCTAATGTTTTATGTAAAGTAGTTTTTGATGACTCCTAGGATAGTTCCATGCAAGGCATTTGCTACTTTGAAAGCTATTTCAGTTCGATCCTATTTAATAGACAGTAGCTGATCTGATTTATTTAAAGCACATCTGCAGAATATTTCAAACTGCAGTTATATGAAACTTTGCTTTAAAATGCTGGAGCTTCTGGAATGGTCCGTTTCCCCTTTCCCCTCCAAATTATACTTTATTGTGCTTCCTGGCTTCTCAGCTTAATTGACCTTTTAAAATAAAATATGTCATAACATGTTGAGCATGAAAGACACCATCCTACCTATGAAAAGGAACTCGGAGGTCAAACCCACAAGAAGGCAATGGCAAATCACTTCTATATCTTTGTCAAGAATATTGTAAAAAAGTGGCTGTAACATTTTGTTTGCATTTGGATGCTAGATGATGAGACATCCTCCAGTAGGAAAGTGGCCTTGTAAGTGGTGGTGGGAAAGTAAAGTGGCCTTTGAAGTGGTGGAGGAGATTAAAGATCTGAAGGGAATAAAATATATTAAGCCACAAAGAAATTAGGCAACTCAGGATATCAGTACTGAAAAGGTAGTTTTTTCTTTACAAGAACACATAATAGGAACATGGAATATGAGAAGCATAAACTAAGGAAATAATGTGTCAAAGCAAAAGCTAAGCATGCTAAAATGGATATTTTAAGAATAATTTAGATAAACTGAAACAGGCCAGTTTAATTTAGATGAATACTGTAGACCAGGGGTGTCAAACTGCTGGCCCGCGGGCCGGTTTCATCATACCGGAGCCACGCCCACCCCTTTGCCGGCAATGGCAAAATAGTCCCGATACGTCTTGCGACGTCACGTGATGTCACGAGTTTGACATGTCGGCTATAGACTATTCAGAACTGGCAGCTGCATTAGGTAACCCAGATCAAGAGATCAACTCCATAGGAAGAATAGAACTATCTTCATTGAGACGGGTTATAACAATAGAATCTAGCAAGTCTGCTTATGATATATTTCCCTCCCTTCTTATACTCCTTATGAATCAAAGAGGTGTCTGCCTGATCTATTTTTGAATATTATTTTGTTTCTGGGGTTTAAAAAGCATTTTCAACCCTTTGCCTAGGTAATAATTCTAGCATATTTCCATCATGGTCACTGTCCTTATTATCTACAAAGCACGAATCCATCTGTATAGTCTCACAAATAGACAGGGAACACAACAAGATAAACTAATTATACTTTTTGTAAGGCTACATTAACAGAATCTTACAAGTCTGAAAATACAAATCTCCCACCTTTCTTTTTATCACCTGATTATTTAAGGTGGCTTCTTTCTAGCTTTCTTTCTCTGTTATTCAGTTTACAGGTTTCTCCTTTTATCTGATTATTCCCTAGGCAATATCTCTCCCCCACCCCAGTCCTGTCTTCCAAGGTCATTCTCATATTCCACTACAATATGAAAGAATAATATGACAATGTTACTCAAAAAAGATTTTATAAGGTACTGTACATGTTGGCAATAAGCAAAAATCTACTGCAGTTAAAATATATACTATACCATTGCATATATCTACTGTCAAATAGAAGAGAACCCGTTGAAATGTCTATAGCTCTAGAGGAGGGAGTTAAAGTAAATGTCTATAGCTCTAGAGGAGGGAGTTAAAGTATTAACAACTCTGTGTCAACAAATAGAAAATATTTGCGGCCTCTGACCCGGCGCAGATCTCAACTGGCTCCTTGGTTTACGGAGGAGCTGAGAGAGATGAAACGCCGGAAAAGACGCCTAGAGAGCAGTTGGAGGGCTAGCCGAACCGAATCCGACCGAGCACAGGTAAGGATGCATGTTAGATCCTACCTAGTGGCGATGAGGGTGGCTAGATCTAATTACTATTCCACA